GTAGAACACATAGGTGTGGGACGGGGGGGGGGGGGGGGGGAGGGGAAGGGAGGGGAGGAGGAATTAGGGAGAAAAACCGAATACGAGAAAAGAGAAGTAAAACCACTGATGGAGTAGAAAGAAGTGCCACGTATAAGCGCCCGTGTGTTCTCGCTTCACGGTGCGCCCGCAGCCGACGTTACCTGAAGCATGAGTATCGTTTCGGCGATTCAAGTGCGATGAATATAAGGGATATACCTATTTAATATATATAGTTTATTACCTATATAAATATATATAAATAGTTATAAAGATAAGAATATATTTAATGACGCGAAAAGAGATAAAGCATCTCGCGCGCCGGCGCCACGTTTCAGTATAGGGGAACAGATGACAGTTGTATTCGCGAACGTGAGGAGATATCGTGATAATATGAAAAAGAAAGGGAGATAGAGGAAGGGCAGGATTAGAATGACTTCGATGGAGGGATAATACGCGAGCAACAGGATCAACAACCAGGATCAAGCGATATGCTATAGTTAAACTATAGTTTTAACGTTTGTGTGTGAAGCACACGACTCTTTTTTGTAGATAGATGGAGGAAGTAATTTAGATTAGAGTAATTAATATGCAAACAGGAAAAGCAGTAACAGATGCGACTATACCAATACATATTATTTACATTACCTAGAGTTAATCGGGAAAATAAGTAGAGGTTCTAGTGCGATTGAAAAGTAAAGGAGAAAAAAATAATAGTATACCGCATACAACACATATACCAATAGCATAATTTAATGAAACGCGAGGGAAGAACAAAGCGAGGTAAACGCACGTTAAAAATTAGGACGTGAACAATGGCAAAATGTATTTGCGAATAATAAATGACAAATATAATATTTAAGATTACTACTCGCAAATAAATTTTGCCTGGACCGAAGGGGTGAATGTCCCTCTTGCGCGCACGACATGAGATGCTAATGGAAAAACAATGAGAAGAATAATAGGCGCAAGCGGATAAGCAAATTGCTCATGTGTATATTTTTGTAAATAGATATTTGTGAGTGCCGCCGTCTTGAGGGCGACCTACCGAGTTTGCGGTAGATCGGCCCGCCCCAATTTTTGCTACCACAGATCTTGTCGAGAATCGGATAAGAGATTACAAATAGGGAAAAAAGAGATATGAGAATACATAACGAATCGACACACGACGAAATGTCCGTTGAATTTAGTTTCGAAAGAGAAACATGCTCTCCGCGCTTTTTTTTTTAGAACGGCATTTACGTTACTCAGATTTTTTGGCCTGTTTTCCGTTTTTACGATCGCTTCTTGATCGGAAAATCTTATCGAAGAAAATTCTAAACGTGCGTCGCGGCAGCTTCGTTGTTCCCAAATTTACCGGTGATTTGATTCACCTCACTTTTCAAACGCATCTCTTCCCCCGCATTCGATCGATGAAGAATCGAATAGATTGCGATTTAGCAGTGAGAAATAACGTGAATGGCACTCCAGAGTTTCATTTTCTCGGTAAAACGTGAAATTTGACGAAGCGAACTAGTGAAGTATGAACCCACAAATCGAAGGGATTGTTATCAAATCTGACACAATCTCATAGTTTAATACATATCCGATCTAAATTTAATTCTCCTAAGTGATTAACATTACCCAACCAGAGGATGTGACCGACAGGTATACTCTGAGACCGTAGGACCAATTATTATTTGTATAACTGTTACAATAAAATCGTATTGTCCCGTTGCTGACGTTTTGTTGGCAATGCCAGAAAAGATAAACATAAAAAAAAACGCAGGCGGATTGGCGGGATGACGATGGCCCATAGTTATTAAGCGCGGTCCAATGGTTCACGGGATACAATTTTATATTTCACGAGTGCGGTAAAGGATAAAGAGAAGAGATTAAAAGAATAAAATTTTAAAAAAGGAAAAGAAGTCTATTAAGGAGCTTCGAGAATATTTTCGAGACACATTTATAGCAGATACATATATCAGGCCCATTTTCCCGCCAGGCCGACCGCCCGAAAAAAATGAACGAAATGCAAATTCGAGATATCAAATCGCAAGTTCGATGTGATTTATCGAGGAAATGAAAATAATGGAATATTTATTACGATTGCATGCAGAGGATGAGTTTGCGACGAGTGGAAAAAGAGATTGTCGGTTTATGTAAATAATTATCAGTTCTTAGGTAGATTTTTTTTTATAATGTTCTTTTCGATGATTTCGGGCTGATGTATGTTCCTGTATGACTCCCAAAGATAAGTAAAAGGTGCTGTCGCTCCGTAAGGATGCCGCGTAAAGCAGCAGCGAATTTAGATCAGAAAACATAATCGCCTCTTTAGTTCTTTTGTAGGTTCTTTTTGCTTTTTTTATCCCCTCTCCCCTTTTTTTCTGTATCGATCAATGTAGTTGCATCATGGAATTGTGTCGCGCGATATTTTTTGCTACAATTCTATTATAAGCTATTATTAATCTCATCGTTACTGTTATTGTTAACATTGACGATATTATTGGCGATAGACGACAGTTACAATCAGTAAAAGTAATAATGATAGATATAGATGGTATAATTAATAATAGTAACAGTAACGATGTTACTATTTACTATGTAATAGTTATTATGTTACGAATAATATTATATCGTTATTCTTTCTTTGAGATATTTTAACGAGTGAGAGCGCATAAGACGAAGTGATGCGTGAAGGGTGGAATGCGGAGACATTGCGCGTCGCGCACACAGAATGTACATTATTCCTACTCATTGCGAAGCTGTGGAGGTTTCAATCGGGCAGACATGGTCGTGCGATAGATATCGTCCTCGTATCTGTAAAAGACCTTAATAGAGAGTTTGATTGCGCCGTTTGATTTTGGTCTTCTTAGCCTCTACCCCTCCTCACACCCTCACGCCCCTACCACACACCACTCTGTACTTGTGAAATATTTATACATGTGTATATATGTGTGTACATATATATATATATATATATACATATATACATATATATACATATACATACAATACACATTGCGTGTACATACATATACATACACATATAAATATGTAAGGAGACAAGAAGTATACATACACGCAATTTTAATTATGATTATATTATATATTATTACATTATTAATAATTATTACATTGATGATTATACGCGATAATTATTTTCCTATATTTGTACGGGACGTATTGTGTACTATCCAATTTTTCTGAATATGAAACGGGTGTTTTCGCCGTTAGACTGTACTGCTCCATCCGTCGTGATTGTGCCAAAAGGAAATGAATGTTATGCGTTATGCAAGTTCGCATCTTCGCACAGCCACATCGATTGTTTTTAAAGCAAGTTTACATTATTCTTCGCATATTTTTATCATTGAAGTCCTCCTATAATATTATAATAAGAAATAGATGAGTTCCTTCTCCTCGTGTTTTTGTTTACAACATAAAATGGATTTGAGACATCCTTGTCAGGATTGAAAACAAAAAATATTTTTTAAAAAACATAACATTGTATTGTCTTTTTAAATATATTTTCAATATTTTGAATGTGTTTTAAATATTATTAAAAGAAACATACTTAAGATATGTCCAGTCGACACAAACTAAAGGTAACATAAGTCAGTGTTATAATTTTATACTACACATCGTAATTGTTATATAACATCATAAGTTATATTACATTTATATTGTAGAATACAAAATTATAGCATTGCTGCTATTACTTTTAGTTTGTGTCGACTAGGTATTGTTTACCAACCCTGCTGTTTACAAAGCTTTCGATCAGTTGAACTACTACAAATGTAGATTAGTTGAGAAATTATATATAATTTTATGTTAATATATATTTTTATTTTTTT